ACTTAATTTGTAATCGAGAATAACGCATTATTAGTGAAATGGAACTTAAAATATTCAAGGCAAATGCTTTTCATACAAGTATGTATAATATTTAGTCAATTTTTTTCACAATTAAATTCACTTATGTTGTTCAACTATGTCCGAATATTCTGAAAAATTTTCGCTGAATTCCCCTGAAATATAGCTAATTGACAAATAGCACGTACAAAATTCATCTATTTAATATAAAATTTGATTAAATAGTTGTATTGTAATTTTACAAGGACTTCTTACCATAGAATGAAAATAAACATTAATTTGCCTAAAACTATGCAATTTTTATGTATTTTACACATTATTGCTTAACGTGTACAGGTTAATTCATGATATATGAAGTAATTATTTGTACAACTATATGTAAAGTAAGAAAAATTAATATTTAAAGTAACATTTGAAATGTTTTTTAATTGATTATTTTAATTGAAAAATCGTAAATAAAAACCAAAAAATAATTTAAAACCGATTCCTACAATTCTTCGAATAATTCCCTATGAATTTTACGCTTTGGATGCGTATTCATGATGGCTAAATTTTTAACCGCAAAAATGGCATAGGTTGTTTACTAGAATGAATCAAACATGTATATTACATAAATGCATTATTTATTCACATGCAATTCACATTTGTTATAGTACATGCATATTAATTGTTCAAATTATATGATTAACGAGATTTATTACTAAGCATATAAGAACCCTAAGATATAATTAGCATAGTCCGAAATTAAAGCATATAATCGGCTTTGATTTGAGTTTTCACACTGAATAACTTTTGCTGATACAAAAATCATACAAATTGATTGGTACTACCCTAGCATTTTTCCGAATTCGTATTTCATTAATTAATTTTCCGAATTTGTATTTCAGAAATTGTTTGACGAATTACGTAGTAAGGTTCTAGTATTTTATTATGTACAAAATTTAATCATTTTATATTATTCATTTTGAAATCGAATAATGCTTATAATGTCAATATTACTATTTATAATAAATTTTACTATCCAAAATTTTTTAAACGATAGCTACTTAAGTAAATTCTAGTAAAAATTCATGTTAATTTGACAATATTTGAATAATGTAAGTTTGACTTATAATGCCATTTACTATAAATATTTTTAGCCAGTCTAGAAATCAAACTAGAATGAAATAGAAAACTCGTTCTTTTTATTGTGCTACCTGTTTATTTTGTTTTGACAATATCAGATTTTATGAAGTTTCATTTCGAAAACAGAACAAAATCAGTTCCTCATTTAAAGAAGAAAACTCTATACAAATATGCAAAAAAAACAAAGAATTCAAAGTAGGTAGAAAAAAATTCAAGAAAAAATTTATAAGGATGAAGAAAATCTAGATAAAAATATCCTTTTTTGTCTTTCTATAAATTTTCTCATTTTTCGTTTTTCTTATTTGCTTATTTACTATATATAACTATATTATTTTCATTCATATTTTATATTTGTATATAATTTTCATTTACCATTCACTTTTTTCCTCTTTATTTTATTTTCACTATATTTGTGGGAAAAATGCATTAAAAATAATGAAAATTGTTCCTTTTCTCTTTTTATATTTGTACTATTATATTAGTTTTTTTGTTTTTTTTTTTTTTTGTTTTTTCTCACTATTTTTATCCTACGAAAATTTTTGTTATCGTTGGAACATTTTTCATTTTTTTAATGCAAAAATATGAAAGTTTTATGGTTTTATTTCTACAATTTTTTTTTGTTTTCTCCTTTTGTTTTTTCGTTATTGTTGTTAAATCGTTGAAAAAGGATCCTGATGAAGTTTTTCTTTTTTTTTCGTTACAGTTTTTGTTTTGCTATTTTGTACAAATAGAAAGTTTATATATATATATATATAAAGTTATAACAAAAAGGATATGAATTATAATTCTTTATATAAAATAAAGTTTACTTGATGATGGTAAACTATAGTAATTTTTTTTGTTCACCGCGCTTGTTATACATGTGTATATGTATATAATAAATACATAAAATATACAACATTATAACATTTTCAAGGTTCAATTATAATGAAAACTTATGTATTTTAATTTTTGTTTTATTATTTTCGCCATATATTTATGAACATAAAAAGGTGTTTTATACTTTAGATCTATTAAATATAAAAATAAATTCATTTTTACTAATTTTCATGATTTAATATAATAAAAATGAATTTAATAAATAATACAACTAAGAAGATTTAAATATAAGAATATTAAATGTATATAAATTGTAAAATTTTTTGCTTTTTATTCATAAAGGGATTAAATTGAATAAATGAACAATAATTTGTGTATGAAATTATAAAAACAATATTAATCTATTGAAATAAAGATCAAATAAATAAAAAATTAAAATTGTATCTACTAAAAAAAATATTTTTAATAAAATAGTATAAAAAAGGTGCAATTAATGAACCTTTCGAGAATTATGACAGGACTATTGTGCATGACTTACAGTGCAAATAATTGTCAATATGTGCATGACTGCAAACTACTTGCAGTTCATTTTGAAAGTTTTATTCTAAAAGATGTGATTTTTTTAGTTTTAAACTGGGAATTTTAATTGATCCTATAATTTTGTAAATATTCATGAATACTCATGAATACTTTAAAATTTCAATTTTCATTGTACAAGACAAAAATATTCACGGAAATACTTACATGAGTGCCCCTGGCAAGATTAAAAAAGAGCAGCGTAAGAGCTATAAATAAACCGTTCCTATTTTTATCAGTAAAATTATTGACAAAAGCTAATAGAAAACGGCATAAATCACAAACTCCTCAAAAATATTATTATACATTTAAACAATTAGAAAAGTCAGTATACTTGAAAAACGATTACCGGTATTAAATTTTAAGTCGGATTCATAATAATGATAGTTTGTGAATTCACAAGGAGATAGAGATACGTGATGTGTAATCGTACAATTCAACTACAATAAGTAACAAACACAATTCTGTATTGTTAAAAGTATTATTCAATGGACATGAAAAAAATTAATGCATTGGCTTTTTTATAAACCGTAAATCCATCTCCAATTTCACTTCTATTTCAAACAAATCAACATTAACTTGTTAAATTTATAATTACATTGACGACAACATGGAAAACCAGACTGTTTAAGTTGAGCAAACATGGTATATTAAAATAAATAAAAGCTTATAACCAAGAAAAATTTACTTTTACTTTAAACAATTCTATTTCAATTTTTGATAAAAGCATTCATCAAAAAGTTTAATCAAATTAATTTAAATTAAAATTATAATCAGTTTACTAGAAAACACGCGAATAAAATAATTATAAACGCTCATAAATCGATAATTTTTTCATAAATAATAAAAATAGCTTTGTTTTAAATTTCCTGATTACGCAAATATATAACCGTTTTTCGCATATAACATAATACATAACGTTAGTTACAGCTATGAACCAAAAATAAAATTATCCCTTTATATATAATCTTAGTGATAATAGTATAGTAATCATTCATTACAGGATAATGATCTGCATTAAAAACTATGATGCTTGTAAAAAAATTATGACCCAAAAAGAAAACTACTAAACTTTAAGAGAAAAATGGTTTATTTGCAAAAAAAAAAAAGCAAAAAAATTATTTCTATTTTCATAAATTTTATGGCATCTGGTTTCCATTATTTTTTAAATTTAAAGACACTGTAAAACAAAACAACAAAAATGCCATAAAAAGAAAAAAAAGTGACCGATCCTTTTTTTCTTTTCTCCTTTTTTAAATGGAAATAAATAACTTTATTGAAAATGAAAATCCAATTCGAAAAAGTAAAAACGTTGAAAGAAAAAGGTTTCTGTGCTCGTGTTTCATTTCATATCCTTTGCTTTATAGGTATTCATTAATCTTGGATCCTTTTATGAAAATTTATTATAAATACAAAAATTTGTCAAATTCAGAGCACTTTCATTTTATTTAATTTCAAATTGAAAATTTAGAATCTTACATTTTTAAAAGTATAAATTTTGAAAGGATAATAATATTTTATTTGAAAATTTGATTTAAATTAGGAAGTGATACGATATCACAAACATCTACATATTTACATTTGTTGTCTGTATACTACAGTACAACTACATACAACATTAGGTAGCTTTTACACAGAAAGATCAGTGCATTTTGATTAATTTATAAAAAATAGAAGGCCATTCATTTCTCAATAAACAAAATCCATGAGCAATGTTTCATGTACAAACACAGACTTATAGCTTCAGTATAAATGATGGCTTTTAATATATAAGTGATTTTTTTCAGTACAGTGCCTTAAAATATAATTTAACTTTACTATATATGAACGAATTTCAGTACTGTTTTTAAAATTTTAAAATTTATAGAACAAAATTAATATAAAAATCAAATTGCATATGTCACAGGCGCAAATTAATTTAATTGAATTAACTAGTATATATGAAATTTTTTTTTTATTTTGTAAAATATTTTTACACCAAAATATTATAATTTTCCTTATAATTTCGGTCCACTGAAATTCCATGCTTACATTCAAATAAACCATTCATAGCTATATTATGTGTATGAAGAATTTGTTTTTTTTTTTTCTTAATTTTCCCATCGTTTTTCGGTTTTAATCGTTCTTTATATTCTATCGTTATTTCAATAATGATTTGAGTTTGCGTAAGATAAATTATTATTCACTTATAAATTAATTTTTGTATAGGGTGAGTGTATTATTTTGGGTGGCTTATAGTTACTAAGAAAAACTGCCACCCTCATGGTGGATAATGATCATTTTAGAGTATAAATCTTTAAGACCACATCAATATAAAATAAACAAAAACTATTTACAAATTAGTTTTGAATAAAATATATTAAAAACTAAAGCCTATTCGAAACTCCATATGGAACATAGAAATTTCTAGTTTACTTAAAAAATTCAATTTGAGAATAATATACATATTGCATGGCATGTACCTTTGCTTGTGATTATCCTGAATATTACAATTTTTTGTTGCATTTTTTGTTAATACACGTAACAAACAATTCTTATATATGTAATTAAAAAATTAATAATTTTTTAGAATACAATACAATAAACAATATAATTTCAATCACAATACACGTTATTATTTACTAATGTTACAAAATACAAAAACAAATTCTTCTGAAAATCTCACAGTTCTCGACTTTATTTTATTCACGTACAATAAATAATGAATAACGTAACATAGTGGAATCAAATTGCAGTGTCATTTCCCTGTTTTTGAATTCGATACAAAAAAAAAATAAACAAAATACCTACACGCATTGATGGTATTCTGATAACTGGCTAACTAAAGGAAAAATTCCAAAAAAAAAAAACAAAAATCTGTTTGTTACGTTTTTTTTCTTTTCTTACTTTTGTTTTTTTTTTTTTTTTTGATTTTTGTATTTTTAATATTTCATATTAGAAATTTTTATTGTCCTGCCAACAAATTTTAAGAATATTGTATTTGAAAATGGCAGAGAGAGAAATAGAAAATATGAGAGAGAGGAGAAACTTGTTCGTGTTTATAAATTACATATTGGTAAATGAGCATGTATGTATTGTGAATATGTATCATAGTATATTTTAAAATATGAACTTAAGTAACAAAAGGGAAATTTAAAATCAAAATGAATACGGATATTTACGAATTTATTCTTTATACACACATAACATTTTTTTACTTTATATAATAATAGAACTACTTAATATTTTAGCTTTTCACATTTTGGTTTTTTCTTCTGGTAAAAGAACAATAATAAATAATACAATAATAATGTATGGGTAATTAATAAAATCAGTATTGCCCTGAATTTTAAACTAAGCTTTTTTTTTTTAAAAAAATTCTCTTTGTGTTTATGCAAAATTTAATTTAAATAAAAGTTTATGTTTCATACTCCATAATTCCGCTTCAATTTTCAATTATTGTTCTCTTTCTTTTGATTGTCGTTTCCTCAAAAATGATGACAAACAATGAAAATTAATATTTACACTACCACTATTATAAGTGAGACAAAACACCATTCAAATTTTATCCCATATGTTTTCGTTCCTTTCTCTCTCTCTCTCTCTCTCATTTACATATATTTTCATTCCATCTGTCAAAATGATAATAAAAAATAAAATTTTAAAATTATTTTATGTACCTACCTTAACATTCCTACCTTAATGCAATATATCTTATCTATCCCAATATAATAACTCTATTTTGGAAAATTCATTCCTCTCTCTGAGAAATTATGTTTTAATTGACATTCCAACAATATCTCACATTAACACTTTTTTACATTTCATTATAATTATAACAGCAAGCAAATTTTACTCACGACATTTTTAAGTTTTCCATACATAACCTATGTATTTTATATTATTTACTTTGGTTGTATCATCACTCAAATAAAAGAGATAATTTCCTTTTTAATTTAAAAAATACAAATTTTTGTGTGAAATATGAAGAAAAAAGAAAATGTTCTCAAATTTAAAAAAAAAGTTTTTGCTATATTTTGAGTAGAAAAAAAATGTATCAATTTCTCTTGAAAAGGAGAAGGAAATTTTCTCAATTTTATTTATTCGATATATGTATTATATTTTTATATTATCAAAACACAGATATTATAGTAGAATTCCTAAAGCTTAAATTGAATATTAATTCACAATATTTTAACCTGGAAGAAGAAAAGAATAATTTTGCTTTTATCGAAGTAGTGCGTAACATTTTCCTGCAGTTCCTAAAATTCGTACATTAATGTATATTTTTTGGAATATATACATTCATACATATACGAGTATCTTTATCATTTTAACGAACAATAATTTTCATTTTTATGCTTTTTAATATTTAGATTTTATTTGCATTTTTGAAAAGGTTGTGTATTCCTTATCCATATTCTATACAATAATTATTATTCATTTTAATGTTTTTGTTTCTAGGATTTTTTTTACATAAGAATTCGAAATAATAACATAAATTATGTTGTATTCTATATTATATTTATATAAGCGTATGTATATAGCCAAGTTAATAATTATAGGAAAATGAAAATTCAAAATTTTTTTCTCCTATACTCATTTCAATTTTCAATTTTATTTCATGTTTATTCAATTTAAAATTTAATTATAAATATGTTAATATGCAAAAAATGTATATAAAATATTCATAGAGTAAATAATATTTTATAATTTGCTCTTTTTTTTTGTGTGCATATATTTTACGATATTAATATGTAAATAATTTTTATATAACATTAATATTTTTTAATATATGGGAAAATAACATTCGATTGTGATGGAAATTTTCTTCATTTATTTGTGTTACTAAATATAATATTAACATTATATATCTATATACGTGTTATTACCATTATCATATAAATATGTATATCTAAATGTATAAACTCATAATTATTTTAATATAAATAAATATTATTTAGGTACATAGCGTGGAAAAGCATTGTTAATTTTTGTTAGTTTTTCTTAGGAGTGAATTAATTTAATTTCATATTAAATTGTGAATGGTAAGCTTTGTTTTATTTTAAATCTTTAAGTTTTTCTTTTTTGAATTGCATAAAAACCTTATATGTAATATTTTCACCATTTTAAAAACAATAATGCTTAAATGAAAATATTAAAAAAAAAATTACTCAAATGAACTAACCAAAACCGGAATAATATTGTTTCCATAACGGTTTACAGTTCAAGAGCATATTGTAACATTGTATACTCATTGATGTACTAAAAATATTCACAAAATAGATCTTAAATCGTTTCCTACTCCATTTCTCTTACCAATTAAAAATTACTTCGGCTTATTTCAAATATATAAATAATATTGTAGGCTTGATTTAAAAAACACTGAATGGAAGCTTCTATTAATAGGTCATGTCAAGAACTGCTGTACTCTTTTATACTACTTTTAATATCTTAATAAAAGTTTGTATACGCCGCTTAGCAGAAACAGTATATTTAATTTAAGCTACGTGTTCACCGCATTCATCATAATAAAAATGAATATTTCGTTTTTGGCTATAAAGCTCTCTTTTCAGAGGTTTCAATTTGCTCAAATCTACTTTAAAAACTACAAATTTCAAAATATTATTTAATTAGAATAGGGATTGGTGCGTGAAAGTGATGAGCAAAATAAATTTTATTTCTTGCATTGTAATTAGCATGGTGATGAATAAAAAACAGAGTTTGGATATTAATTTTTTGTTTTGAAAAAATAATTTATTTACAGTAAACAGTAGTTATTAAATATTATTACAATAGAAAATTGTAGGTCACTCTGCACAGTTGATAAATACTGAAAGCTTTATTAGATGTTTTCAAAATTAAGAGCTTTTATATACAAAAATTTAATTTAATTATAGCTTTGCGTACATTCATATAATACTGTTACGAATAAGTCCTAAAAATTCAAATTTTACTTACACTGTACGAAAAATTTGATATCAGCTGATAAACACACTGAGTAAAAGAAATAGCGCGCATGTTCATATTTTTACCGTTAGTTTTTCCTCTAATATCTTCCTAATGTTCTTTTGTTGTTTGAGTGAAAAAGACATATAAAAATGACAAATTTGATTCTAATATTTCTTTTAAAACGATTTTTTAAAATCACATTCGTTACTCATTGTGAAAAATTCTATGTTTAATAAATTTTTGCATAATATTCACTTTTAAATTAATTTGATTTTCATGCTAAAGCTAATAATTTTTCGATAAATTTGATTGAATCTTATAAATTTTAAATGCAAACGGAAGAATCTATAATCTCACTCACATATTACAACTCAATTATCGTATAACAACACTCACTCAAATTTAGAGTGCTAATAAAGAGTTCCACGTTAAAATCATAGTAATTACTGTATGAAAGTAAAATAATTGAACATAATAATAATTCAGTTTATTAACTTGAATTCTTCCGAAAATAAATGGTAAAATAATAAGTAGCGAGTTCTTTTGAATGTGAAATATTGAAATAAACATGAATTTTTGTTGATTGTTGACCTTTGTTGTAATAAATCAAAAGCAATTACAAAAATGTTATTTACAAATTACATATGATCTTATGTGATATGTGTGAATTTAAAAATTTTAAAATTACCCTAGTGAAACAAAATGGTCGCCGACTTAACGATTGTTTGGAAATTTCGCCAAAAGTTTATATAATATTGCCACAAATATGTTAATTTCCTTTAAACTAAATTTAGAGCAAATCATTGATTTGTAAAGTAGTAGAATTCTAAATCAAACCACTTTCTTTCCTGGAATTTATATACGATTTTCCCCAATTCCTTACTAAAAATATCATAATTGTTGCATACTTTCAGGATGAAAAAAGCTAAAGCTATGCCGTCAATGAAAATTTATGGAATTATACGGTTGTTGATTATTTAAAATACTTGAAAATTTTTCTAATACGAAAATATTTAAAGTTACTTATATTAACCTGACCATTGGTGCAGTGGTTATGGCACCGGCCCTTTAACCGAAGGGTCTCGGATTTAAACCCCGGTCAGGTCACTATAAAATTTATATTCAATATTATATAACTTAATATACAATACTAATAAATATTATACAAGTAATTTTCAAATATTCATAATATTCGATACTAAAGATTAAGAAAAATAAACAGTAAATATTAATAAACTAAAATATTTAATATGAATAAAAAATTACGGTAGGCTAGTCACCTACCAAGGCTAACTCTCTGTGACTATGAAACTAGGGCATGATGGATATCATGCACTAGCCCTATACTCCTTCTAGGAGTGAAGAAGGAAAAAAAAAAATATATTAACTTTGCTTATGTAAAGTAATTTGTTCTAAGAACGCTTTCTTAGTGAGAAAAGTTCAAGAAAATTAATTGCCGAAAATTAAATTTTTTTTATAATAATTCGTTGAATTTTGAGCAATAATTTTTACGGACGGAATAGGTTATTAGTGAGGACATTTTTCCAAAATTTTCTTTTTGGAAAATGTCCTCACAGATTTTTTTTAAATCAAACCTTAAAACCTTAAATAACCTTAAAACCAAATCAAATGCATTACACATTTATAAGTTTGTTTCATACAATTTGTAATTAAATTTTTATTTCAATCATTGCACACAATTAGCAAAATTACCAACCTGTCATCTTTGATTTATTTTTCTAAAAATATTGAAAGTATTCAAATGGCCTCTATTCAATAGAAATTACGTACATTAAAAGATGTACGTAAGTATCTAAAGAGAACAGAAAGAATGTACACGTGCCAATGTAATTTTATT